CCAAATCATTGACATTTGGCCTAAACGTGCGGTTAAAACTAGATATTGAGCGTGAACGGAATATTCTGAACAACACAATTAATGTCAGTTATAATTTATATGATTATGAATAAATAGATTCAAGTATGCAGGATTCGTTTCCTCGTGGTTGATGGACTGTCAGTAAGTCATTTTATTAAACAGGTTTGGTGTCCAGCAGCTTTGCTGCATTTTCTTGTTTGTTATATGTATATAACACAGACTCCACAGATGGAATTTAGGAATAATAAACAGTTATTGCCCTAGTGTGAAGGAGACCTGAAGAGTTGTTCCCCCTCGACAAATCATGCTTTATTTCGGGGAAACAACTCGTCAGGTCTCCCTCACACCAGGGCAATAAGTGTATATTGTATAACCTTAGCTATTCGCATAACACATGAAACAAAAACACATATAAGTTGTAATCAAAACAATATTTAGTTTGAAAACCGGACATAGCTGATATGATCCGCGAGTAAATTAGTAGTGAATTGGCTAAAGGTAACTATTGTGATCAGTAGTGAATAGACTAAAGGTAAATATTGTGATCAGTAGTGAATAGACTAAAGGTAACTATTGTGATCAGTAGGGAATAGACTAAAGGTAACTATTGTGATCAGTAGTGAATAGACTAAAGGTAACTATTGTAATCAGTAGTGAATAGACTAAAGGTAACTATTGTGATCAGTAGTGAATAGACTAAAGGTAACTATTGTGATCAGTAGTGAATAGACTAAAGGTAACTATTGTGATCCGTAGTGAATAGACTAAAGGTAACTATTGTGATCGGTAGTGAATAGACTAAAGGTAGCTATTGTGATCGGTAATGAATAGACTAAAGGTAACTATTGTGATCGGTAGTGAATAGACTAAAGGTAACTATTGTGATCCGTAGTGAATAGACTAAAGGTAACAATATGATCCGTAGTGAATAGACTAAAGGTAACGATTGTGATCAGTAGTGAATAGACTAAAGGTAACTATTGTGATCCGTAATGAATAGACTAAAGGAAACTATTGTGATCGGTAGTGAATAGACTAACGGTAACTATTGTGATCCGTAGTGAATAGACTAAAGGTAACTATTGTGTATATTGTGAATCATACACACTTTACGTAGTTCATACGCCCAACGGATCGAAGGTGAATTCTCATCGTTGGTTTGGTTGGTTTTATATTTTTTAACATCCTATTAACAGCTAAGGGCATTCGAGGACGTGCCTCCATGTGTGATGTGTAAGCGTGCATGTGTGCATGTGTGCGTCAGACAGAGTGTATTGGTATAATTGCCTCCTTATGATAGCACAGATCTGATGCCGACTTTTTAGTGCTTTCTCACTGAAATACTATACCCAAGGCACCCAGCACAGCATTCCGCCCGGCCACAGATGAAACAGTTGTTGCCATTCCCCTTAATTCTAAACGTTAAGCAGGGTATACAACTACCATTTTTAAAGACTTTGATATTATCCCGGCCTGGGGACAGAACCCACTGCCTTCCTCACCTGGGCGAACGTTCAACATTAAAGACAAAGGTGAGGCCAAGGAAGTCACATTGTTAATTTTGATTCAAATGGTATTTCTGTTACAAAAACTGTAGTACTCTGTAACGATGACAAGGTTAACGTTACTTTCCTATTCGTTTTCACGTGGTGTTAAACATTGGCTGGTTATAGTAACACTAATGGCAATGGAACTGTGTTCATGATTAAAAACCTTAAGAATACCGCACATGCAGTTCAAGGCTATCACACACGGACAGGCTAGTGGTTAGACTGATAACAAAATTGTGCAGTCCATTGATTGGGGGCATCACACGTGCAGCCCAGTAAAGGAGGTTCAAATGCATGCAGAAGTAGCCCGCTAGTGACTGGACCACACACGGGCAGTTACTACAGGTTATCGCATACCTGTATTCAGTGATTGTAGAATACCATACACGCGCAGTTCAGTGATTGGTTTACACCACACAGTGCCCAGTGATTGGTGTACACCGCACAGTGCCCAGTGGTTGGACAATACCACACAGTGCCCAGTGATTGGTGTACCCCCCACAGTGCCCATTGATTGGTGTACACCACACAGTTCCGTGATTGGTTTACACCACACAGTGCGCAGTGATTGGTTTACACCACACAATGCCCAGTGATTGGTGTCCACCACACAGTGCCCATTGATTGGTTTACACCACACAGTGACCAGTGATTGGTTTACACCACACAATGCCCAGTGATTGGTGTACCCCACACAGTGCCCAGTGATTGGGGAATACCACACAGTGCCCAGTGATTGGGGAATACCACACAGTGCCCAGTGATTGGGCAATACCACACAGTGCCCAGTGATTGGTCAATACCACACAGTGCCCAGTGATTGGTTTCCACCCCACAGTGCCCAGTGATTGGTGTAGACCACACAGTGCCCATTGATTGGTTTACACCCCACAGTGCCCAGTGATTGGTGTACCCCACACAGTGCCCAGTGATTGGGGAATACCACACAGTGCCCAGTGATTGATGTACACAACACAGTGCCCAGTGATTGGTGTAGACCACACAGTGCCCATTGATTGGTTTACACCCCACAGTGCCCAGTGATTGGTGTAGACCACACAGTGCCCATTGATTGGTGTACACCACACAGTCCCCGGTGATTGGTGTACACCCCACAGTGCCCATTGATTGGTGTACCCCACACGGTGCCAGTGATTGGTGTACACCACCCAGTGCCAGTGATTGGTGTACACCACATAGTGCCCAGTGATTGGTTTACACTACACAGTGCCCAGTGATTGGTTTCCACCCCACAGTGCCCAGTGATTGGTGTACACCGCACAGTGCCCAGTGGTTGGACAATACCACACAGTGCCCGGTGATTGGTGAACACCACACAGTGCCCATTGATTGGTGTACACCACACAGTGCACAGTGATTGGTTTACACCACGCAGTGCCCCGTGATTGGTGTACACCACACAGTGACAGTGATTGGTGTACACCACACACAGCCCAGTGATTGGTTTACACCACGCAGGGCCCAGTGATTGGAGTACACCACACAGTGACAGTGATTGGTGTACACCACACAGTTCAGAGATTGGTTTACACCACACAGAGCCCAGTGATTGGTGTACACCACGCAGTGCCCAGTGATTGGTGTACACCGCACAGTGCCCAGTGATTGGTGTACCCCCCACAGTGCCCATTGATTGGTGTACCCCACACGGTGCCAGTGATTGGTGTACACCACATAGTGCCCAGTGATTGGTGTACACCACACAGTGCCCATTGATTGGTGTACACCACACAGTGCCAGTGATTGGTGTACACCACACAGTGCCCAGTGATTGGACAATACCACAGACTTTCAGTGCTGGCGAAATCGAGGTGTACTTATCACAATGTCTACAAGTAAAAAGTTCAATAGTTTTGTATGGACTGTCATTGATTGATATATAACGAATAGACAATGTATCGCGTACAACTCTCACGAACACACTGGGATGATCAAGGTTACAGCTAGATGTCAAATGTCAAATCAATGTCATGATTTTCTGGGACGTAACGTCTGAGCGGTTCACTGTTCGTTTCGGACTGGACGATATCATGTCGCGTGCCTGCCACCCGTGTGTCTATACTGTATTGCAATGTGTCAAAATGTCAAATCACTTTGAGCAAGTCCTGGCTAGTTCGAACGCAAATCAAAGAAACGTCATAGATAAATGCATCCCGACTAGAGAACATGTCACGGTTGCCTAGGTGATATATACTGCTTTGTAATGCTACAGAATGTTTGTCCAGTGTTGAATACAAAAGATGTTATTCATGTCATTCATCTTTTAACCAAGACACGCTTTTAAGTTGTATCATATGCCTGATGACACTCTTTGTAGTTGATTTATATCCCTGGCAGACTTCAGAATAGCTTTCTTTTGGTATATTGTCATGACAACGACACGAAATGGTCACACATATTATGTAATTACGTATATATTTACTTATTATTTGTATTTATACCATATTGATATTTGCTTCTAGTGTTGGTCAAGAGCGTACTGTTACTATTTTTAACCCCAATAAAAAGTCTAAGAGTTTGAATTTTAACTCGTGTCTATCTGATTTTGGGTCAATAAATGGAGGTTTCATCATGGCAAACCTTACTCAGCGTTAAATGTCAATATCCCACACACTACCCTAATGAATGCTAAGATGTTTCCAAGTGCCTGCTATATTCAGCGACGATACTTTTTAACAGCAGCTTTGTTAATTTCGGTTGTTGCAGTTTTTCTCTTGTCGAATGCCAAAACAATTGATGAATTCTTCAACCATCGGCACCCTACGTATAAAGTTATAAAACAGAACGTTCATACGTACTCCAGAAAGTATCTTCTTTGATATACTCATAATCTTTTTCTGTTAGTATACTTGTGTGTTTCATACTTTTCATTTGCCTTTATAATGTGCATAGAACTGATTTGGTATGTACTGTTTTAAATATATCTATAAACATAACTCGCAGAGATAAGCGTGTTCGTTGCAGAGAAAGTTTTGGACTTCTTTCCGATTGGTATGTGTGGCTAATAAACGCGTTACAGCTTACGCGTGACCACAGCACAACCATTCGTATGCTCATAGTTGTATCTAATGAAAACGATAACCACACATTATTTCTGACTGAAGTTGGATACGGACTGTAAGCTTGACAGATCAGTAGCGATCTTGTTTACCATACAAACAAGTGTGGGAAGGAAGCTGCAATAACGTTTCCCCAACCACCTGTTATGTTACCTAATGCCGGGGAACCCATGGCAGTTATAGTCGTATAATCTGCCAACTGTCAAGGCTAGTCTGTTAATGTCACAAAAATAAAACAATCTTCAGTAACGACGGTGAGTGAAATACTAAAGGTAGAAGCAAAGCTCATTGAAAACCATTGACGGTCGTCTGAGATAATTAAGGTACGGCGCTGCCGCTAAATACTTACATTGGAGGGCAAATCTTGAGTTATCACTTCCATCCATCCCGATCACAACGGTCTTGCCCTTAGGTAGGGGCGTGGCATGATCCCCATCCGCCATAATCCTCCTCCCACAAACAATATCCTCACTATAAGGCACAAGGAACGTCACAGGAGGGGTAGCAAACAGTGACAGTCGGCAGGCCCTATACTCTGGCACTATCAGGCAGCAGCGATGTCTACTCTACTGGATACAAATCACGGTGGTACAAGGCGTCGAGCAGCGCACAACTGTGGTAACGCTACTGCAGGGGCGTAACTCATTAAACTGGGATAATAATCTTGTGTAGGCACTTGAACAAGTGGCTGATAAAAATGTACTATTTCGTTTAACGACAACAGCTTTAAAATTTAAATTAAATAAATTGATACATGCAACTATGCCAGTGCGTTTTATGATAAATATACAAATTATACGAAATTATATATGAATAAGTTTTAATGATTTCAAAGTAGGGATTTAAGCAGGAGGTTTTGAGACTAGGTGTTCCGGAAGGGTAAGCAGCTCCTGCTTCATCAACAACCCACGGTAAATCTAGGTCAAATCCAATATCTGTTACCCCCACAAAGCGAGAACTGGAGTAGTGACAACAAAACGTCACTAATAAGCACAATAGCATTCCTATTAGATTATTATCAGGCGGCCGGGGTTCGATCCCCGAAGTCGTCGTACGCATCGATATTCAGAGAAAGTGTTTTTCTCCTGCCCGCACAATTCCAACAACCCAGGTGGAGTATACATTGGTCTGAGGTGTATGTTGCGGTATCTGTGCTGTAGCATTCAAGTGCGGTGGCAGTATGAATAATGCCGTTGGAAGCACGGTCCCACTACAAACAGAACACATTACATCTCCAGCAAACAAGCAGGCATATAACCATAGGGAGATATTAACCAGGTGGCATAGCACTAGTAGTTAGCGCCTCATAGGACAGCTCCTGCGAATTTCTCAAAATTGTATTTAATGGTGTATATGCCAATTGCATATCTATGTACTTCAAAGCGCTTTAGAGTGGCTCGTGTTAGCTAGATAGGGCGCTATATTAAATGCTGTATATTATTGTGAAAGCGACCAAAACACTTGCCAACTTCATCCCCTGTATATTTATTTCAGCCTTTGTAGTGCTTTTCACAAGATATGACCCAAACTATTTTACAACCCCATATATGTATATCGCAGTTTGCCCTACTTTTAGGAAAGAAAACTCTCATAAAAACGACACGAAGGCGTTTTTTTTTTTTTTGGTATGAGGTATGGTAGTGAAAATGGTCGAAAAGCATAAAATAATCATCGAAGAAATATTTTGGAGAAGAGGATGTTCTAGATTGATCAAATGTGCTAGAGAATTCTTCAAAACCCGCATTCCATTTATTCAGCTTGCCAAGTATTAAAATTTCGGAATCCAACACAAACGAGGCAAGGGTCCGCATCCTTATCATTAATGGGTATTCGGAAGAAGTTCATACAGACACGTGATTAGCTTGTATTTCGTCTTTCGAAGATTTGGAAGTGTATAAATAGTGTTACATTGGTTATCAAGCATGCCTAGTTCTGAATGGTCACCTTGCCATAATCTGCTAACCTACATCCGACTCATATCCTATGCGTGCCAAATCAGAGTGGGGCTGGGCATTAGAGTTAAAGAATGACGCCTTACTTTGAGAAGCCTCGGACTTATTTTTTATGGTTGCATTGTCTAAAAGGTTAATTACTGACAGTAACCAATATCAATACAATATGTCCATATATATATACCACAAATAAAAGGGAAATGACTTATATACACTTTAAAGCATGTTGTCCGAACCTTTTGACTGTGTAACATTGTAACAATGAAATTGGTTGGAATTGAAGCAGCCTCGGAAGACAAAAGAGTTTCACTGCGATAGGGATCCTCTAATAGGTATGTTGGCATATTTCTGCCATCCACTTGCGACTTACGAGTTACGTATGTCGACATAATTATTGAAAGATGTCGACATAATCTGAGAATATGTCGACATAATCTGAGAAGATGTCGACATAACTGTTAAATTATGTCGACATATTATCACATTTGCCGAGATAATTTTGCCGAGATAATTATCTCGTAAGTGGGTAACTCGGCTTTTTATCGTGTTAATGCTCGGGTGTGACATCGACTTGCCACTTACGACTTGCCACTTACGACTTATTTATGTCGACATCCTAGTAGATTATTGCCGACTTACCAAAACGAGGCTTGTGCACGAGGACCGCGAAGGTGGGCTGATGGTGACTGAACAGTGGTGACTATACTGGTGAGTAACTTGGTAAAATCAATGTAAATATGGGAAATCAAAGATATGGATATTACAGTAGGTTACTATGATGTACAGAGTTTATCAATCAAAGAGGGATTTTACATAAATAAGTCGTAAGTGGCAAGTCGTAAGTCGATGTCACACCCGAGCATTAACACGATAAAAAGCCGAGTTACCCACTTACGAGATAATTATCTCGGCAAAATTATCTCGGCAAATGTGATAATATGTCGACATAGTTTAAAAGTTATATCGACATCTTCTCAGATTATGTCGACATATTCTCAGATTATGTCGACATCTTTCAATAATTATGTCGACATACGTAACTCGTAAGTCGCAAGTGGATGGCAGAAATATGCCACCATAAATAGGGTCTCTGAACTTTTTCGAATTTTCCAGACCACAAACTTGTTCACGTTGAGGTACTACATTTCAGTGTTCAATGTAAGCTCGAAAGTTTTATTTCACTTACGTGCATTACAAGATCTTTTTTGACCATAGAAAAATAAATAAAAAATGCTTATTTTATACTCGAGCCTTAGGCAGCTCACTACTGTACTGTGCAGTACCACTCCGATATAATCATGACCAGGTGCCAATATGTTCAGGGACTTACACGATTCACGTAGTTGTTTGCCTGTCATATACAATGTATATATATATATATATACAATGCTTATATATATATATATATATATACATTACTCCTTTAGAACTTCTGCGCAGAAACAAATGTTCAATGTACACATCTCATCAAGCATTGAACTGCAATTGATAGGAATGTGGGGCCGAGGACTATATCAATAACTCATATTGGTATCTCACTGACATGATATATGTATCGGCTATATACAGATGCCTTTACGGCACACTTACGTTTTCCGGCAGCACAGTCCTTTGGTGTTAAATTAACACCTGATTCGCATGTGCTGTGCAGTTTCAGTGTTTCTGCGGTCAATAACATATCTACTTATGTATCTCTGTCTGGTGGCGTATATCACCACGATGTATAACGTACTGAAAGGATCACCTAGAAAACTCACTTGTCTTCCAAGATGTTGGTGAAATGTTGTAACGACACTCCCAGTATGTAATTAGAGAAAAGAATCATATGCAAGTACGTTAACGTTATTTCACACAACACTCTTATCTCAGTGTTTGGTAGTGTTACAATCGATCGTTTTTTCGTGGGCTCGAAAGCACCTATAAATGATAAATATACATGTATAACTTTACACATAAAACAACAAATACATCTTTCACACTATCACACAAACGTTTTACCGATAATAAAGTTAAGTTTATTCATCGCACTGCGTAATTAATTGGTAAATTATAAATGAAACGAATAATAATACAGTACTACACGCGACGCACTCACCAGAATGCTGTGAGCAACGGACTTTTTCCAATGTAAGTCGAAGTATGCAGTGTCTATCATGCATGTGTCGAGTGTCTCCGGTTGTGTGTCGGAGCAGAGTTGATATCAAATATAAGTTGAATGGTCCAGCAAGTGCTGCGATTGGTCAGTTGACCAAATAACAACTCTGACCAATCGAGTTAGTAACGCAACATGCAACACACAAAATGAGTACGCCAACACACCAACACAATCAATGACGTCACAAACATGTATATTTTCAGGTAAAATACATACATGTACATGAATGCTTACGTGTAACTATAAACATCGAGTAACAATTAAAATCATGTTCCGATTTCAACTACTGAGGTCAATTAAAGACGGGATATATACATGTATCACCCCTGACACAATGTACTGACAATAGGCTAAAAAGAGCAGAAAGTGAAAATAAAATTTAGGACGAAGTATTGTCATGTAAGGAGGTAGAAAATAAGATCCCAAATCTTGCAACAGGCTCTGCAGATACATTTCAGTCGCAAATGTGTCCCAATATTAATGTTGAGAATGTTCAATTGCTTTACTATAGCTTCAAATGACTAAATTTGTCTTCCTTTTTAGTATATGCAACCTCTAACCAATCCTTTCGTGCCCACAGCACACATCGTTGGTATAGTGTCACGACGGAAATAATTCTGCGAAAGTTCCATCATTAGTCGCCTCTTGATTATGAATGGGTAGCAGTCCCTTACCTGAGAGATGCGTCACGTTCTAGTGGATCCCCCCCCCCCCCCCCCCCCCCCCAGCTCAGTATTGGTCATAAAAGGTAACAAAAAGGTTATGGGGGTACCGCTTGAAAAAAATACATCACATTGTTTTTGTAATATTTAAATGACCTTCATCTCACGATGAATGCCATGATATTGGATGAACAAGACAAAAGACAAAAAGAGGAGGTCAGTTGGATCAGTGTTGCTTTGGAGTTTTAGCTTCACTATAGCAGTTCTTTGTTTATGCCGACCGACAAGTAATGCTAGTGTCCCTTGCTGAACTGATACTACGTTCAATTGTAACAGTTCTCCTTATCAGAGAGACCTGGCGGAGCCTATCTTGCTGTGTACACAAGCACTGATGAGGTAAATGGTGCGAAACTGGCGATAGTAAGTCAGATTGACAGTTATAGTGAGTTCAGTAGTAGGACATATTGATCTCAATGTACCATTGGTTCATTGTAGTTGGGACCGTTGTGAGCGTCGCGTCGATTCATAAGGTGCTTCTGAATGCAGTCCACTACACTTCCGGTTGCGTTAGGAGGCATTTTGAGTAGACATTTATTACTCGATACTAGTGAAATTACCCTCCACATACAAGATAGGAAATATCTAGAGCCATGTAATCATACAATGTGCATTCTTTCGTTCACAAAATACGATTTACATTTACCATATTTATTAAACTCTTTCAGAAAAAGTTGTGACATTTGTAATACCGTTTGAGGATATCGTTAGGTCAACGGGGACGGTATCGGCAATCACTATGGCACCAGGGGGT